TCCTCAAGGTCCATATTTGGTCCTTCCTCTGATTCTTCCAGCACCCTATGCTGCCAAATATTAGCATTTATCATCATAATATACATTTGTTTTATAATCTTTCTCCTAAACCATATGCTGCTTTGGGGCACAAACTGGGTCAAATTCATCTTTGTATCTCCAATGCCCAGGAGTGCATCAAATATAGAAGCAGCATAACAGGGGCGCCTGGGTAGCTCAGCCCTTAAACATCTGCCTTTGGCTCAGGCTGTGATCCCAAAGGTCTTGGGACTGAGCCCTGCATGGGCTCCCTGATCAGCAGGAAGCTTGTTTCTCCCTCTCCCACTCCCCCTGCTTGTTTTCCTTCTCTCGTCTTTCTCTGTCAAATAAATAAAAATCTTTTTTTAAAAATTTAAAAAAGAAGTTACATAATAAATTTCCATGAAATCAATGAACATAGTAGGTGACTACACAGTTTTTTTCTTCTCAGCACAAAATCCATGAAACACTTATGAAATTTTAGCCTGTCACAAGCTGTATTAGAAAATTTATTTTTAGACACATGTACCATAATCATAGTTCTCTAATATTAGCGTTCCTTAATAATAAAAACACAAATACTTTGTAATTTAAAAGGAACAAAGTAAATGAAAGCAAAACCAAGAACCATGTCTCATTTAATTATTTTTTGCCACTACAAAATAACTACCCCATATATGTATTTTCCTTCTGTCATCAGCTGAACAAATATAGGAAAACAAAGCATCTCATGGAGCTAAAATTAACAGTACTGAACATTTATAAAATAAGCATATTTCATAATATGAAGCTGAAAAGAAATTCAACTTTTCTATGAGCATTAGGCCTCTTACATAGTTTACTCATCAATAACACCAAAGCATCCTTTTGGTGATCACATAAGGTTCAGTTTCTGCCACTTCTCTCTTCCTAAACCTCAATGAATTACCCTTCCCTCTTGATAAGTACCTCACAGATGTATTCAATCCTTGGCAAGATTCTAGGTTTTCTTCTCTTCCTTCCAGCCTGTCCTGCACATTCACTGTGCACCAGGGTTGGACAAATCACAAGTTCTCTAAATACCTCCACTTCCTCCTTATGAAAATCACATTCAAATTCTCATCCACTGGCCTTATTTCCTAACATATCTCCATGTATTTTCTCACAGCATTCAAATCTATTCAAGCTGTATTCCACACAACTCCTTTCAGCAGTCCTCTTTGCTCCAATACTATACTTTAAAAAATACATCTCAACATCCACTTTCCCCATTGGTTAACTATACATTTATTGAGCACTTCATGTGCCAGATTAGTAAAGATAATTTCAAACAACCATCACCTCTTCATTGGTTCATCCAGCAAACATTTATTACATGCCTACTTCACAGCAGATAATATTCTAGGCACTAGGGATACAAAGTGAACAGAAGTGGATGGTCCTAGGCCTCACAGAGCTTATAATCTAATAGGATGAGAGAATTATTAAACAATCACTTAGTAACTGTGTAATTTTAAACTAAAATTAATACAATGCAAGAATGACTGAGAATGCTGAGAGAGCCTATTAAGCGGAATCTAATTTGGAAGAAACAGAGAATGCTTCTCCAAGGAAGTAATGTTTAAAAATTCAGATCCAAAGGAAAAGTAGGAATTAACAAAACAAAGAGGAAAAAGAAAATAATTCCTGGCAAAGAGAACAGCTTGTACAGAGAGGTCTGAACAGAGGGCAGCATAGTCCATCTAAGGAACGAGTATAAGCAAAATGTCAAGAGACAAGAAGGGACCATGTAAGGAAGATCAAGATCTCCCAGGGCAGTAGGCTACACCAAGCAGCAGCTCGTTCTCTCTCTCTGTCTCTCTCTCTCATAAGTAAATAAAGCTTTAAAAAAAATTAATTAAATAAAATGTTTAAAAAAAAAAGGAAGAAAAATCCAAGAAAAGATGTACAGCACAATGCTATACAAAGTGTGGTCAGCAAACTATTTGTTACTGTCATGATGGGGTAAGTACAAATAAGGGTTTAGAAGCTTTTATTACAACTGGACAGAGTAATCCTACATCTGTTGAATCTAATAAAAATTTCTATTTTTGAACTTATTTTTCTAGTAATTTCTTTTTACTGTATTTTACAACAGTGCTGTGCTATGACATACCAGTGAGAGAGAGAGAGAACAAGCTGAAGGAGGGGCAAAGGGAGAGGAGAAGCCAGGTTCCCCGCTAAGCAGAGAGCCCGATGCGGGGCTGGATCCCAGGACTCTGGGATCATGACCTGAGCCGAAGGCAGATGCTTAACCGACCCCTACATACCATATTTAGGGGTGCCTGGATGGCTCAGTCCTTAAGCAGCTGCCTTTGGCTCAGGTCATGATCCCAGCGTCCTGGGATAGAGCCCTGCATCGGATCCCCTGCTGGGCAGGAAGCCTGCTTCTCCCTCTTCCACCCCTGCTTCTGTTCCCTCTCTCCCTGTCTCTTTCTGCCAAATAAATAAATAAAATCTTTAAACAAACAAATACACACACACACACATACACACAAAACTTTACCTACAGAGTTTAAGTAGTATTGGTCTAGAAGGTGCACAAACCAAGATTCATAAATAGTATAAAGTACAAATATAAATTCAAAAATGATTAGAGTATAGACGGAAAACTCTGGACATTGGATGAACCTGCCAAAAAAAAAAAAAAAAAAAAAGATTTATACAGGGAAAAAAGGGTGTTAGGACTAAGAACTGAGGAACATTTGGCAGCCAAGTGAAAATGAGCCTGCAAAGGAAACTGAAAATCTACCTACCAACGAAAGGATGGAGAAAAACTAGGAAAGTTTAAGGGCACATAGCCAAAACTTAAAGTGGGTTTTGTTTTGTTTTGTTAAGATTTCATTAGAGTGAGCAAGAGGGAGAGCACAAGCCGGGTGGAGGGGCCAGAGGAGAGAGAGAGAAGCAGACCTCCTACTGAGCAGGGAGGCCAATGAGGGGCTTGATCCCATGACCCTGGGATCATAACCTGAGCCAAAGGCAGACACTTAACTGACTGAGCCACCCAAGCACTCCCCAAAATTAAAGTGTTTTAAGAAAAAGGAAATGGTAGACAATGCCAAAAGTTGCTGAGAGGTCAAGTAAGGGAAGTAAAGAAAAACTGTCCTTTATATTTATGAACATGGAGATGATCAGTGACCAGGACAGGGATAGTTTCCATAGAATGATGGGATACTGTCAAAACTTAAACGTCAAAATTTTAATAGACTAAGGAGTAGGTGAGAGATGAGGAGAGAGACTACTCCATTTATGAAACTTGGGAATGAGGTACACCTGGCTGGCTTGGTCAGCAGAGCCTGCGACTCTCGATCTCGGGTTTTGAGTTCAAGTCCAACGTTGGGAGATTACTTAAAAATAAAATCTAAAAAAAAAAAAAAGAAAAAAGAGAAGAAATTTGGAAATGAAAGGATGGAAAGAGATAGGGTGGTGGTAAGAAGAAAATGTGGAACTTTTGTTTTAAGATCTTAGAGAAATCGGCAGGTTTAAATTTCAATCGGAAGGATCCAGTTGAAAGAGATTAAATACGCAGGACAGAACAAGTTATCCTCTGATCCTTAAATGAGACTGAAAACACTGTGCTAATTCTAAGATTGTCATTAGGGTGTGCATTAGACATAAAATTCTTGCCCCCAGTTTAGCTGGTGTTCCATTTTTTCAAAGCTATGACACCGTTTCCACACATAGAAGCTTTAACAACTAAATCTTCAGATAAATCCATTCTCCTAACTCAAGGGAGCTCTGAACTAGGATAAAGGCTTTAAAGTCAAATTCTGCCTGCCAGTTGGCACCTGTGGAACCTGGAGCCAATCACATTAACTATCCTTCCTCTCTCAAATAGGCATAATAATACAGCATCCATCTTCCAGGGCTTCTATGAAGGTTAAATGAGATATGTATGTGACATACCCAAACTACTGACAACAATACTATGTAATCGGTAGCTCTTATTAAATACTAGAATCTGTGTAAAAGAACACATCCTGAAGCCTTTCATTCTTGGAGACACATTAATCTCTCTTAGGAAAGATATATCCACATCTTTACTGAACTGTTTAGTTTTCTGGTATATATATCCTATGCTCGTAGCTTTAAGTAATTTTACAGTTAAATGTGCTGTAAATCTTAAACGAGGAAAAGTTGTTTCAAGTTCAATTTACAAATTCAAAACAATTTACAAAAGTGATGGCGGGACTTATCCACGGATAAGCCGTTTCTGCCTAACTTCTCCAAGGCAGGCACGACTTCGGGTGTACAAACTTGCGTGCCACTGTCACACCTCTGTGTCGCCCAATTTTCAAAAGCCTCAGCACCTTAAAGGCGGCATCACCTAAAGGTCTACGTCTTAAGCTGCCGCCCCTCCGTCTCAGGTCTCCCACCCAGAACGCTTTACCCTTTTCTAAGAAGTTGGTCACAACCAGAATCCCGGCCGTTGCCGCCGCTCCTGGCCCAGCAGAAGATGCCGAGGGCCCCAAAAGAGAGGAAGCAGAAGAGGGCGAGGTTGAAGCATTGTCTGCGCTTTGATTCGGCCGTTTTCTGTTCTTCTTGGAAGACATGATCACAATGCAGCCTAGGAAAGGCTGCCGCAAAGCCGGCTCAACGTGCTCGTGTCTCTGGAAGAAAAACTTCCGGGGCAGAAGTCAACGAGACTCCGCCCTCCACCGTAATCCCCCAACTGGAGCGCAGTACTTCTTCCCGCCTTTCCTATCCCTGAACAAACGTCTGTTGACTTAAACTAGAAAAAGAAAGTGGTGGAAAAGTTTCTCTCTGGCTTTTCTGGAACCGGGAAAATTTCTGAGAGGAGCTGGTGGACAGGACTTCGCGGTTACTTCGATATAGCGCCGGGAAAAAAAAAAAAAAAAGTTGTAACGTTAGCACAACTTTCGGATGGCACTCTTCTAATATTTACGGGAGCGACCTCCGCTCTGGGAACTCAAAGGAAACTTGATTTAAGGGCCGAGCTAGCGGTGGGACGCCAACGCGTAAATGCCGCCTCTAACTAGCGGGAGTTTTCGGCGCGCAGTGCTCCTGCGGATCTGCAGCACAAGGCTGTTGGCCGGGCACCGCAGGGCTTCGGGTCCGGGTTGCAGGTGGGACCCTCCCGCCGGAGCGGAAGAACTGCGGGGAGAGCTGGACAGATTCGGGGGCGTCTCGGTGCGCCTGGCACGGCTCGGCGCCTTGGACCGCCTGGACGCCGCCTCATTCCAGAGGCGCTTGCAGGGCAAGTGTGCCTGGGCCGTGGGGTTCCCTGGCTCCGGAACCTTTCTAATAAAGTAACCGGGGCCCCCATCCGCCTAACATGGTCTCCGTCAATCAAGTACCGAGTCCTAGGGAGAGAGGGCAGGCATGACCCGTACCAACTTCCCCTGTTTCCTTCTTATGCCCTTTGCTGGGAGGTTTCTGAGGCACTTGGTTGAAATTTTAACTATCCCAGACTTGCTGATCGGCAGCCCTAGTTTCTGATTAACTTCCTAGTGTGTGACCTTCCACAAGTTCTGTAAACTATCATTTACCCTTCCATAAAACCGGTTAGTAACGCATAGGATTGCTGGGGGTTTACGTAGGGTAATGCATATAAAGTGCTTAGCTTGGCCTCTACCACATACTTAACGCTCAGTAGTGTTAATATTTACCGGGACTTCGTTCTGCGGGGCACTTTGCCCGAGACAACGCTATACGGGTGGTGAACAATGAATGGACCAGAGTGGTCATTTTTGTACACCAATTGGGTCAGGCTGACGCATCAAGAACTGGAGTTTGCGGGGTGCCTGGGTGGCTCAGTGGGTTAAGCCGCTGCCTTCGGCTCGGGTCATGATCTCAGGGTCCTGGGATCGAGCCCCGCATCGGGCTCTCTGCTCAGCAGGGAGCCTGCTTCCTCCTTTCTCTCTGCCTGCCTCTCTGCCTGCTTATGATCTCTCTGTCAAAAAAATAAATAAAAATTAAAATTTAAAAAAAAAAAAAAACTGGAGTTTGCTAGAGACAAAGCAACAAATCTTTTATGATTAACCAGGGAGGGTAGTGGGCGCTTTCAGTCTTCAATAAGAAAACTCTGCTTTCCTTGAACTTAAGTCTAAAGATAGGAAAGACAGCTTAGATGGAGGCGCTTTCACTTTGAGAGAAGCCGGTGATTTGGTTCAGAGTTTATCAGACTGCCCCTGAAGGTTCTTGAAGGCCTAGCACGGAAATTCAGCATTGGAAAGATCCTGTCACTCAAAGAAAACTTCAGATAATGAGGAATATGGCAAATGAGCATCTATGTAAATATAATTCAGCTAGTTCATTCTTTAATCATTCTCCTACCCAAACTACTTGGCTCTTCACCGCATTTTCTATCCTACTTGTGAATAATTGCTGACTCCAACAGTATCAGCCATAGAAGAATCAAGCGAATGTTCATCCTCTAATATATCTACCGATGTGTGGGAAGACACAGGTGTTTATTGCACAGACTTGTTACTTGTCAGTGGCCAGGTGGTTAAAGCACTTCCTTAGTCTAAAAGGCAAAGCATGGGTGTTGGGTTTAAAGTCACACATCCAGATTTCAAGTCCCGGGTTCTGACCGGTGCGTAGCCATTAGGCAAACCACCACTAAAAATATTTGCCTCTTAGGTTGCTTAGGTGAATAATGCCAACCCTAATTATTTTACTGGATACATGTGGTGATCAAAGATAAATTTTAGGAAACTAATTTATAATCTACATAGTGCTATATACTTTTTATAGTTTTTTAAATACAATATTTCATTTATGAATTCCTATTGCTAGACACTTAAGAACTTCACAAATATTAATTCATTTAATCCTCATAACAACCCTGAGGTAAATACTGTTACCTTTATTTTAAAGGTGATGGTACTGAGGCACAGGGAGATTAATTTCCCTTGGCTCTGGAATCTGTTCTTTTTTTTATATAAAGATTTTTATTTATTTATTTGACAGAGAGATATCACAAGTAGGCAGAGAGGCAGGCAGAGAGAGAGGAAGGGAAGCAGGCTCCCTGCTGAGCAGAGAGCCCGATGCGGGGTTCCATCCCAGGACCCCAGGATCATGACCTGAGCCGAAGGCAGAGGCTTAACCCACTGAGCCACCCAGGCGCCCCTGGAATCTGTTCTTAATGCATTATGCTGCCTCTAAGAGCTAGTGCAAATTTTGTTATTAAGTCAAACTAGCTTTTCACTTGATTAGAATGATTAGGGAGGATATGGGAATTTCCTGGGGTCCTAGAAATGTTCTGTAATCTTTATTGGAGTGTGTTACACAGGTGTATGTATGTGTCAGAACTCCTTAAATGTACACTTAAGATTTGTGCCCTTTATGTAGTTGTACATCAATTTTAAAAAAGATTTAAATCAGAGAAAGAAATGGGTGAGAAGGATCTGACTCCATAGTCCCAAATCAAGCAGCTTTTATGAAAGGCTCCCATATGTTTGTCACTGTATTAGACCCACTGCCTTTTAAAGAGGTAGAGAACATGGTCCTTAACAGGGAGTCACTGCACAGCTGGAGAAGAGAAGAGGCGGAAAAAGAAATTAACCATTAAATGAATAATCAAGCCTTCCCACCACCATACATGCACACAATTTGCAAGATTATTGTAAAGATTAAGTGAGGTGATAGATGGAGAAAATGACCTGAGAATACTGCTGTATTCTTCACCCATAAATTAGGAGCGATAATACTTGCCTTTCAGGCTGTGAGAACTTAACGAGATAATATATATACCGTGTCTGGAGCTTAGTGAGGACCAAATGTTGTCATCTTTTTCTTCTGGTTCAATCTTAAGAGAATTTACAGAAGTCAAAACAGAAAAATCTACGTTCATCTTGGTATTATTTATAAAGTAGAAATAATTTATCCAGGAGTAAGAGGTTCGTTAAGTAGTTTTTGGTGTACTTAGCTGAGGAAAATTATACAGTCATTAAAAACTTATGTTCCTTACAAATTTTAATGACAGCAAAATGTTTATAATAAGTAGTAAAAGATATGCTGTAAATTATATATGGTGTGATGTCAATTCCAAAATTATATTCATGGGTGATCTCTGTCTGTCAAATAAATAAATGAAATCTTTAAAAAAAAAAAAAACGTAGAGTTTTAACTACCTTGAAATTTATAAGCCAAAAAATTTATGACAGAACTCTTAAAGTGTAAGTAGAAGCCCATAAGAGTCATTTATGAAGATTAAAACTAAGGATGTTAAAAGGAACAGCAATTTATTTTGTTTAAATCAAGTTTTTTTGTTCATTCTACAAATATTGAACACCAGTTATGTGCCACGCAGTGTGGCAGGTGATATGAATTACCAACTCTATCCTCAAGGAATTCAGTCTGCTGGAAAAATCCCGTAACAAGGTACTAATTACAAAAAAAAAAAAACCATAGTTCCTGTACTGGTGATATAAACAGAGCATTTTAGGATTCCCCTCCCCCAGCCCTTCCTAGCTAACGACTAAGGGAGGTGGATGTTTTAGGATGGCTTTTTGGAAGGGGTGACACCTGAGATGAGTTTTTTATTTCTTCCACTCTTTTCACTGGAAAATGTTTACAGATTTTTATCCTCATCTGCATTTTAGCTGCAATACAGCAATGGAGATCAGTAGGTAGGATAGCGGTATGGCTGCACATTCCCATCCTCCAAAGCCGATTTATTGCCCCTGCTGCTTCCCTGGGTTTCTGCTTTCACCATGCAGAATCGGATTCATCCACGCTGACACTGTGGCTGGGAGAGGGACCCAGCAGATTACCAGGATATGCTACACATCAAGTAGGAGTTGCAGGTCAGTTTCAAACTAACAGTAAAATTGACCTTTTAGTGGTTTCGTCTAATTTTTTCTTACAGCTAAGTGATATTTTATTCATGTGTAATGAACAGCTTGATCTTTGGGATTATTAAGGAGTGCTTTAAACAGAAGAAGTTTGTCTTACGAATCAGCAGAGGGCAGCACACCGAGCAAGTTTGGTGTTTAGTTTTCCAGAGGATAATTTTCAACATTTTTACATAGGTATTTGAACTTCAGTACTCAAATATTAACACTGAATTAGGATCAGGAGTAAGTCATTATGGTAAAAATATTAGTACTAATTATGTAAGTGTGTTAAGTACAAGATAACTTTTAGGTGAAATTTAAGGTAAAGGAAAGCAGATTTTTTTATTTGGGCATTACTTCTTAAGGATATTTACATTAAGTTATGGTGTGAGACAGTTGTTGAAGATACACAATTTAAGTATATTACGGACTTTTCAAGCCACTGGTTAACTCCAAAGATGTGGTCTTGAGAAATTTGCTCCAGGTTAAGACTGGACTTCTCAAATTGTAGGGTGCATCAAAATCACGTGGAGGACTTGCTGAAAACACCCCGCTGGGCCCCACATCTAAGAGTTTCTGATTCAGTTAGTGTGGGATGTTGCCAGAAAATTTGCATTTCTTATAAATTCTTTGCTGCTACTGCTAATGTTAATTCTAATCCCTGGACCATCCTTTGAGAACCAGGGCTAAGAAAATTCTTAGACTTCCAGGAAAAGTGAAATAGTAAAGACTCCTTATGACTTAAAGCAGTATTATATGTAAGCTAGTAACTAATAATTTTATTTGCCTGCATACAACTTACAAGCATTTTCAAAGGTAGTTTGCACCTTTGAGGTTAAAAAGGAGTGTTCAAGGATGCCTAATGTTTTCTGTATCCATGATCTCACTCACTTTTAACAAATAGAGACATAGAAATTTCCATTCTGCTCTACTTCAAAAGACTACTTGGCAATTTGATGACACCCTCACACTTCATTAGAAAGTCATGCAATTATCAATTCATTGGTACAGACTTTTAAATTAGACTTTTAAATCCAGTTATTACTACAGAATTAGTAATATATGCATAAAGAGTATACTATGAAGCCCTTGTTTGTAACTAAATACTGTAGTATGTATTATAGATAAGATACACCATAGGAGTTCAGGCAATGAGAGATCTGGAATTTGAACAGTCTTGAAGTATAACTAGGATATGAAGTGGCTATTGGGGTGGCAATGAAATCATATAAGAAATTGTTTTGGAAAGGTATAGCGTCTTTTAGGTGAAGGGAAAATAATTGACATTTATTATTCTAAACAACAGGAGGTAGGTATAGCAGATGAACATATCACCACAAAAACACCATTCTGGCATATTGATTATTTTGAGCTCGAGAAACAGTAGATGCAGGAAGGGTCTTTTTTTTTTTTTTTTTTTTTTAACCTAAAAGCAGAGCATAAATTTTTTGTACCAGGAAGAGGAGACATTCTTATAGAAGATGGCGAGCTGACACCAAGTCGAGTCTATACAAATAAACCTTATTAAAATGACCCTTGTATCCCTAATTTCCCCCCATGTATGTCCTAGTCATTTCCCACCATTTACCTCCCTTATCCCAACCCCCTTTTTCTTTTGTCTTGGCTCCATAATTCATTGCTCTTTGTTAAAATGATATATATATGCCCTTGGGCTTAAACACTTTTTTGGGATTTTCACTCCTTTTAATCATCTTTCATCACCACCCAGTCCATGTAAATATAATAAATTTAAAAAATATGTATTTTTTTTTCTCCATTAATCTGACAGAAGACATTCTGTCAGCTCAGTTCACAGCCTTAGATACATAACCTAAGTGGGTAGAGGAAAAATCTTTCCTCCCCTATACTGGAATGGAGTGAGCTATGGTTTTGTTACTATTCTTCAGACACAGCGAGCTTGTGTCTGCCTCAGAGCTTTAACATCTATTGGCTCCTCTTCCTGTAATGCTCTTTGCCAGGGCTTTATCTAGCTCTTTAGAGCTGAAGTTTCTGCTCCAGCATCTCAAAAGTCTCCTGACCTTCCTGTCTAAAATACAGTCCTCCTGCATGCCAATCTCATCATTCGTGGCCCCTTTATCCAGGTCTGTTTTTCTCTATAGCACCCATGACAATCTAAAATTATACCATGTACTTAATTTCTCCCACAATAATATAAACTCTGTGAAGGCAGGTATTCTGTCTTTTCCACCACTGTCTTGTCAGGTTCAAGACATTGTCTGGCATAAAGTAGATAAATATTTCTTGAATGATTAGATAGCTGTTCAGGTGGAAACTCAAGTCCCCAGAGAGCACAGTTGTGTAGGGAAGGGACACAGTTGCATAGTGAGAATACCAGCTCAGAAGCCAAACAGTTTTAGGGTTGTGTGACCCTAGGCACTAAAAATGATACCACTCACATGAGTATTGTGAGGAATACCTGAGATAATGTACATAAAGCACTTAGCACAGTACCTGACTAATCATAATAAAATAATAATCTCTTTTTAATCCCTGATCTCTTTGTATTTATTTATCTTTTAAGTTGTGACCAGCAGGGGTCGCTCGCATTGTGCTTTAGCTTTGCTGGTTTTGTCCTTGAAGTATTTTGCTCTTGTTTATAATTCATTAGGGAAAATTGCAATTTGAGTAATCACAAGTTATTAAAATTTAAGAGTAGGTTTTCTTGGCATTTCTTTGGCATTCTAACCCTTATAAAGTCCAGTGAAATTATAGTTTATGCTTTCTAATGGAAGCCAGCATTAATGTTAATTATATCTCACTTAGTGGTTTTCCTTTTTTTAAACACTAAAATGTGCAGTTTTCATTTCAGAGAAATTTGTCCTTCCTTGTGTTATATATACCTATACCTTTCTGTATTTTATTTCTACATAGCATTGTCTCCTCATGTTCTATATAATTTGTTTTCTATTTGTTACCTTCTCATATGCACACCAGAATGTAAGCCCACTGAGGATAGGGAATTTTGTTTTGTTTACCACTATATCCCTAGCACCTCAATAAATGCCTGACATATAACAGGGGTCAATTACTATATAAAGAACCCATAAGTATTATATATAGGAACTCAATCTTAAAAGAGTATGTAAAATATATCTTTTTAACAATATTTCCTCATATTATGCAAATATAAATATTTTTAAATTATAGCATTTAAAGGAGTTAATACAAATCATTAAGGTATCATTTATATTTTTGACCCAGGATTGTCAAAAAACTAATAAACCTTCTTTATTTGAGTCCCTAACATCTAGCCAAATGTGTAGTATGCTTGGCAGTGTGTATACTGAATGAATAAATGAAAGGATTAGAACTTAGGACATATATAAAATAAACAATTATCCCAAAGCAACATATTAGTATGTTATAAAAGTCATATGCACACATGATAAAAAAAATACATACATGTAAGTGGCTTCAGGGAGATCCTGAACTGAATGTTGAGATAGCTGAGATTTAGATTATCAGGGGCACAACCCATGTTCTATACAAGGAATAAAAATGAGAATAGAAAAGTCACTTCATTTATTCAATAAATGTTTTTAAGCACTTAAGATATGACATTAAAATAAATGCTACGGAAGGATAGAAAAATTAATTTCTTTATGTACCATCAAGAATAGATGATCTAGAGAAGAAACTTATGGAACTGGTTATCCTACAATTTAGCATATGCTAGAACCATCATTAGTATTCCAGGTTGTTAAAAGAACCTGAGAAACTGAGCAGTTTATTGCTGGAGAGATTTTAAAAGTGTCCATGGATGAGGTAGTAATTGATCTAGGCCTTCCAGGATGGGTATGATTTTGATGACCATAGATAGGCATATGGAAGGAGTCCAAGGTGAAAGAAATATTTCTCAATTATCTTTTACTTTTCCCCCAACAGGAGCTGTATTTGATGAAAATACTGGAAAAATATTGGTTGTACAAGATCGAAACAAAGTAAGTTGCCTCTGCTTTTTAAATTTTTTTTTAATTTTAGTTTAATTAACCTACAGTATTGTATTAGTTTTAGTTGTGCAATATAATGATTCAGCAGTTCTGTATTTTCTCAGTGCTCATCACAGTAAGTGTACTCTTAATTCCCCTCCTCTGTTTTACGCATCCCCACACCTACTTCCCCTCTGGTAGCCACCAGTTTATTCTCTATAGTTAAGAAACTGTTGTTTTGTTTGCCTCTTTTTTCCTTCAACCATTTGTTTTGTTTAAGTTGCTTCTGCTTCGTAAATTGCTTTCTAAATGTTCAGTTCTCTCTAGAGGAAAATAAAATACAGAAATTTTTATATGCTCAAGGAATTACAGAAAGATACTTTAAAAGTTCTTTCTAAGCAGTTGTGGATCAGGATTTTTTTTAATTCAAAAAAATACCTATGGAGGCCTTGAAAATGTCAGGATAACCTCATGTTCCTCACTATTATATTATGTCTACAGACGAATTATAAATGGCTATATTTAGGTGGAAAGACAACTGCGTTTCTCACAGACTGACAAGATATTCTTCCATTCATTAAGCATTCAATAAGCTCCCATTCTGAGCCAGGCGATGAGAATACAAAGATTATTAAAACAGTTTCCCTCATGTCCTGCAGTTTACTACCTATTTGGAAAAGCAGTCATACAACAGACGATAACAATCACTTTGCCTTTAGAAAACCCCTGAAGACTTCTCAGAATAGATAACATTCAAACTGGGTCTTGAAGAATGAATAGGAGCTTACCAGGCCAAAAAAAAGTGGCAGAGGGAGTGGGAGAGAGAAAAACAGAAAATTTAAATGGCACATAAAAAGGCACAGAGAATTTACAAAGGTCCTAACATGGTATCTTAGTTTGTTCAAGCTACTATAACAAAAATACCATAGACTGGGTGGCTTAAACAACAACCATTTATTTCTTATCTGGAGGCGGCGACAAGTTCAGGATCCTACCACATTCAGTGTCTGGTTGGTCCCTCTTCCCAGTTCATAGATGTTCATCTTCTCAGTGTCCTCACATAGCAGAAGGAATAACAGTTCTCTCTGGGGTCTCTTTTTAAGAACACTATTCCCATTCATGAAGACTCCACTCTCATGACATCATCACCTCTCATAGGTGATTCCACATTGGGGATTAGGATTTCAACATGTGAATTTGGATCCATTCCATGTAGTGTATAAATAATGGTTAAGAATTTCATTGTGGCTAGAAGTATAGGGAGTGGTAAAATATTTGATTTGAGTGGTAGATTAAGAACAGAATATAAAGAGCCTTGTACAACAAAATAAGTCTAGGCAACCAGAAGCAACAAAAACTTTTAAGAGAAGTACCATGGTTAGCATCAGATGTTTTCATACTTAGGACTGAAAGTGAAAGAGAATAATTATTTTGATACTTTCTGAGACTTCAGTAATATTGATAGACAGAGTCAGACATTTTTCCTCAATATATATGCTCTTATATTTTAAACTGAATATTTGTAACAGTATCTAAAAGTATTCAGAATTGCTATCTAAAAAGCATGTTCATATTTATAAGGAACTTTCAAAGTTTTAGTTAAGGCAGGATCTCTGACTCAAACTAAGATTGATTGTCAGCAAATATTTTGAGTACCTGAAGTAATATTGTGCCTAGCCTTCAAGAACTTTTACTATTTATTTATTTTTTATTTTTTCATATTAACGTGTATTGTATTATTAGTTTCAGAGGTAGAATTGAGTGATTCATCAGTTGCATGCAACACCCCGTGCCCATTACTTAAGTGCCCTCCGTAATGTCTATCACTCAGTTAATCCATTCCTTCCCACCTCCCGTCTAGCATCATTCAGTTTGTTTCCTATAATTAAGTCTCTTAGGATTTGTTTCCCTCTCTGATTCTGTCTTGTTTTATTTTTCCTTCCCTTCCCTTATGTTTGTCTCCTTTGTTTCTTAAATTCCACATGTGAGTGAAATCCACATATGACTGAAGTGGCAAGATTTCATTCTTTTTGATGGCTGAGTGATATATATATATATATATATATACCACATCTTCTTAATCCATTCTTCTGCTGATGGACATTTGGGCTCTTACCATAGTTTGACTATTATGAACATTGCTGCTATAAACATTGGAGTGTATATTCCCCTTCGAATCACTATGTTTGTATACTTTGGGTAAACACCTAGTAGTGCACTTGTTGGGTCATAGGACAGCTCTATTTTTACTTTTTGAGGAACCTCCATACTGTTTTCCAGAGTGGCTGCACCAGTTTGTATTCCCACCAGCAATGGAAGAGGGTTCCACTTTCTCCATATCCTTGCCAACATCTGTTGTTTCCTAAGTTTTTTTTTTTTTTATTTTAGCCATTCTTACCTATGTGAAGTGGTATCTCACTGTGGTTTTGATTTGTATTTCCCTGATGCCAGGTAATACTGAGCATTTTTTTTCATGTGTCTATTGGCCATTCAGATGTCTTATTTGGAGAAGTGTCTGTGTATGTCTTCTGCCCATTTCTTGATTGGATATTTTGTTTTTTGGGTGTTGATAGGTTCTTCAGAGATTTTGTGTAGTAGCCCTTTATCTGACAAAACATTTGCAAATATCTTCCCCCAATCCGTAGGTTGCCTTTTGGTTTTGTTGACTGTTTCCTTTGCTGTGCAAAAGCTTTTATCTTGATGAAGTCCCAGTAGTTCATTTTTGCTTTTTCTCCTGGAGGAGAACACAGGCAGCAGCAGCTTCTTGCTAGATACATCTCCAAAGGCAAGAGAACTGTCTCACAGTTACGTCTTTCATCCATTTTGAGTCTGTCACTGGTATATGGTATAAGAAAATGGTCCAGTTTTATTATTCTGAATATGGCTGTCCAATTTTCCCAACACCGTTTGTTGAAGAGACTTTTATCCATTGGACATTCTTTCCTGCTTTGTCAAAGATTAGTTGACCATAGAGTTGAGGGTCTATTTCTGGGTTCTCTATTCTGTTCCATTGATCAGTGTGTCTGTTTATGTCACTACCATACTGTTTTGATGATTACAGCTTTGTAATATGGCCTGAAGTCTGGAATCATGATGCCTCCAGCTTTGGTTTTCCTTCTCAATATTCCTTTGGCTACTCAGAGTCTTTTCTAGTTCCATAGAAATTTCAGGATTGTTTGTTCCAGCTCTATGAAACATGCTGATGGTATTTTGGTAGGGATTACATTGAATGTGTAGATTGCTTTGGTTAGTATAGACATTTGAACATTTGTTCTTCCAATCCATGAGCATGAAATATTTTTCCATTTATTTGTGTCTTCCTCAATTTACTTCATAAATGTTCCATAGTTTTCAGAGTACAGATCCTTTACCCCTTTGGTTAGATTTATTCCTAGGTATCTTACAATTTTTGGTGTAATTGTAAGGCTTGATTCCTTGATTTCTCTTTCTTCTGCCTCATTGTTAGTGTATAGAAATGTGACTGACTTCTGTGCTCTGATTTTATATCCTGTGACTTTGCTGAATTCCTAGATCAGTTCTAACAATTTTCTAGTGGAGTCTTTCAGGTTTTCTACATAGAGTATCATGTCAGCTGCTTAGAGTGAAAGTTTTACTTCTTTGCTGATTTGGATGCCTTTTATTTGTTTTTGTTGTCTAATTGCTGAGGCTAGAACTGCCAGTACTATGTTAAACAGCAATGGTGAGACTGGATATCCCTGTCATGTTCCTGACCTTTGGGGAAAAGCTCTCAGTTTTTCCCTGTTGAGGATGATATTTGCTATGGGTTTTTCATATATGGCTTATATTTTATTGAGGTATGTTCCCTCTGTCCTTACACGGTAGAGAGTTTTTTTTATCAAGAAAATGCTGTATTTTGTCAGACGCTTTTTCTGCATCTATTGAGAGGCTCATATGGTTCTTATCCTTTGTTTTATTAATATTTTGTATCACATTCATTGATTTGTGGATGTGAACACCCTTGCAGCCCAGGAATGAATCCTACTTGGTTGTGGTGAATATCTTTTTAATATCCTACTGGATGCTATTAACTAGTATCTTGGTGAGTATTTTGGCATCCATGTTCATCAGTGATATTGGTCTGCAGTTCTCCTTTTTGATGGGGTCTTTGGTTTTGGAATCGAGGTAGTACTGGCCTCATAGAAAGAGTGTGGAAATTTTCCTTCCATTTCTATTTTTTGGAACAGTTTCAGAGGAATAGGTATTAGTTCTTCTTTGAATGTTTGGTAGGCCTTCACTTGGAGGCCTTCTGGCCCTAGACTCTAGTTTGTTGGGAGACTTTTGATTCCTGATTAAATTTCTTTTCTAGTTATGGGTCTATTCATATTTTCTATTTCTATTTCAGTTTTGGTAGTTTATATGTTCCTAGGAATACATCCATTTCTTCCAGATTGCCCAGTTGTTGACATACAATTGTTCTTAATATTCTCTTACAACTGTTTGTGTTTCTTTGGTGTTGGTTGTGATCTTTCCTCTTTCATTCATGATTAGGGTGTGGGGGGGGGCTTTCTCTTTTCTTTTTGATAAGTCTGGTTAGGAGTCTGTTGATCTTATTAATGCAAAGAAGGAGCTCCTGGTTTTGTCAATCTGTTCTACTCTTCTTTTGGTTTCTATTTCATTAATTTCTGCTCTAGTCTTTATCATTTCTCCTCTCCTGCTGGATTTAGGCTTTACTTGCTATTCTTTTTCCAGCTTCTTTAGGTGTGATGTTAGGATGTGTATTTGAGACTTATCTTGCATCTTGTGAAAGGCTTGTATTGCTATATACTTCCCTCTTAGGACCACCTTTGCTGCATTCCAAAGGTTCTGAACAGTCGTGTTTTTATTTTCATTTGTTTCCATGTATTTTTTTAATTCTTCTTTAATTTCTTGGTTGACCCATTTATTTTTTAGTAGGATGCTCTCTAACCTCCATGTATTTGTGTTTCTTCCAAATTTTCTCTTGTGTTTGAGTTCAAGTTTTAAAGCATTGTGGTCTAAAATATGCATGATAT